TGAAATACCTTCCTGTGAACCCATAAGATGGACTGTTTGAGTTTAAACAGATCCACTGTACCACTCTCTACCACTTGGTGCTAGGATCGAACTAAACTCTCATGGTTATAAATTTATGAGGATAACAGAGAGGAGTCGCTGTCCTTCTTCAAAGGAATTTCCTTCGCAGTAAACATCCACGGTCCCAGGACCCAGTTGCAAATGGAGGGGCTTAGTCCTAGTAAGAGTAGTTTGTCCATCAGGGTTTGGGGGATCATGGTAATGAAGGCAGACGTGAAGTCCATAAAGAGCACACAGACGTAGGAGTCCTTCTGTTCCAGGTGGGTGAGATCAGTGTGGACCAGAGCCGTATAGAGATAAATTTGCAACACTCCCATAGACTTTTATAGAAAGAATGGAATGTGGAAGTCACGTGGGTCATGCAGCCGCAAATAGTTCCAAACAGCAGCGGTTCCAGCATTGAACGTAGTTCATTCTCAGTATTTCGGACGTGTTTTCTCTGGTAAGTTAATGAAATACAACACTTTTTTTGCCATTATGAAGTGTTAGCTGATTGTTCTGTACCACAATTTATCAACATTAATACTTCATGTCACCAGTGGCTCAATGAGACTACCTGTATAAATAAAGGCTAAATGAAAAAAAGTTTTAGTTAATTAAACATGTTAACTTGTTAGTTGTGTTTTAACTGCAGCTAGCTCATTGCCAATATGACAGGTTTAAACGGGTCTATTCATCAATCTATCTAATTCAGCATTTTAAAATATCCCTTGCAGCTTAAATTTTGAACGTTGATAATTTTCTAAGTTTAGTGGCAATTCCAGTTACTGAACTATCTCAACTAAAAAATATTTAGCCTTTTTTCTGCAAGATTGCCGTGGTTAATTTAGTTCAAGTTATAGATCCTTCTTAAAAGACACAGTATAAATAGGGATATCATCATTAAAGAAAAACGTGATAGTGGACTTGAGTACCAGTAATTTTTAAAAATGTTTTCCAGGTGAACGACTTCAGTGAACTGCTGAAGGAGTAGGATACCATGCTCTCCTTCCAGAGTGTCATCATTTTGCTTAATTGAACTTGTCAGTAAGTCAGGCTCATTCCCAGTGAGAATTGGACTCCGCCAAGGTTGTCCTTTGTCACCGATTCTGTTAATAACTTTTATGGACAGAATTTCTAGGTGCAGCCAAGGTGTTGAGGGGATCCATTTTGGTGGCCTTAGGATTACTTCTCAGTTTTTTGCAGATGATATGGTCCTATTGGCTTCATCAAGTCGTGATCTACAGCTTTTGCTGGAGCGGTTTGCAGCCGAGTGTGACACGGCCGGGATGAGGATCAGTTCCTCCAAGTCTGAGACCATGGTCTTGAGTCGGAAAAGGGTAGAGTGCCCTCTCCAGGTCGGGGAGGAGGTCCTGCCCCAGGTGGAGGAGTTCAAGTATCTCGGTGTCTTGTTCACAAATGAGGGAAAAATGGAGCATGAGATGGATAGGCGGATAGGTGCAGCGTCGGCAGTGAAGCAGGCGCTGTACCGGTCTGTTGTGGTGAAGAGAGAGCTGAGTCAAAAGGCGAAGCTCTCAATTTACCGGTCTATCTACGTTCCTACCCTCATCTATGGTCATGAGCTATGGGTTGTGACCGAAAGAACGAGATCACGGATACAGGCGACTGAAATGAGTTTTCTCCGCAGGGTGTCTGGGTTGTCCCTTAGAGATAGGGTGAGAAGCTCGGTCATCCGGGAGGGACTCAGAGTAGAGCTGCTACTTCTCCACATTGAGAGGAGCCAGTTGAGGTGGCTCTGACATCTGGTTAGGATGCCTCCCGGATGCCTCCCTGGTGAGGTATTCTGGACATGTCCCACCGGGAGGAGACCCAGAGGAAGACCCAGGACACGCTGGAGGGACTATGTTTCTCGGCTGGCCTGGGAACGCCTTGGGATTTCCCTGGAGGAGCTGGCTCAAGTGGCTGGGGAGAGGGAAGTCTGGGCCTCCCTACTTAAGCTGCTACTCCCATGACCTGACCCCGGATAAGCGGAAGAAAATGGATGGATGGATGGATGAACTTGAGCATCCATCACAGATGTTGGAATGTTTGATAACTTTATTTACTACGTATCCTGTAAGATGGTACAGAATGCAGGTTTTGCTGTTGGTGAAATCAGGAGTACCTATGTTTCCAATCAGCTATTCCACACTCAGGCCAGGACTGAAATGTCTCCGTAATGTCCAGGAACTCTGCCAGATAACTATCATCCTCCTGATAGCTTCCAGATTTGACTGTCGTAGAAATTGCCCACCTGAGATTGATCTCAGTGCCTTTTGAATACAAGGACGACCAGAGACGAATCCAGAGTCCTGAAATGATGACAAGATGTTTATTCAGTTGGGTTCCTCTGAAAAGTCCATGGAAATTCCTCAGAAGGAGGGGAGGTAGGGGTTGAGCATCAGGTTTACAAAATTTTCCAAGCAAGTTGAGATAAGATGGCCTGTCAAGGCCAATCAAGGAGCCAAATTCAGATAAAAACTATTGTTTTGGGGACAGGCAGAACTTTAATGACATCTACCTTGAGTCTGTGTCGGTCCACTCGCTTCCACAATGTCCAAAATGACCATACCAATGGAACGTGCCTGAGAATAATCTCTGAGATCTGATCCATTCTGCCAAAAGTCTGGGTGCTCGAGGCACAAACCAATCAATCATATAAGGCAGGCAGCCTGACCAGGTCCAGATTTGCTGCCGACGACTTACTTGTTTGTTGATAGACCAGGAACCAGCTGAATCCAAAAAGCAGAAACCAGTTATCATAAATCTAATTATAAATGTGTCCTTAAAATCCACAAATGACAGCAGAGATAGACATGCCATCAAGTCTTCAAAGTCAATGAGATATCCAGCTGCGTGCATGCCAACAGGGCAAATCAGATCGCCTAAAGCCTGTCTTCTCTTTAAATAAATATCAAGGGACCAACTGACCAAATCCAAGTCCATAGTTATGATTTGGAAGATTTGTAGTAGAGAGGCTTTAAAGCACTTTCACAGACAGGACAGAGCAAAAGCAAAGCGGAGAGGGAGAGGAGGAGACGTCCGCCCTTGAGAAGAGCAAGTGTTGAATGAAGAATAGCTTTATAATAGGTGTTACTCTGTTTTTTAAAGTGTGTAACGTTATAAAACACTGTTAACATGGCTGTGTTGATCATTGTATTGCAGAGACATTTTTTTCTAACAAATATGTGTTTGCAGTCTCATTTCCCTCTAAAATTTAATGATAAATGTCCCTGCCATGTCTAAAAATACTTTGATAAAATACATAGTCAGTGAAATAATCAGTAATCTGTTAAGTAATCAGTTCGTCAGTGCTCAATAATTACAGAAAGTTGCCGGGCAAAGTAAGAAAAGTTGATTTTTGTGTTATGTCGTGCCAGTAGCCTCTCAAACTGACTGACAGTGATGAGCTGTTTGGAACTATTGAGAACTGCATGAACCATGTGACCACATAGCAGCTAGTTAAGAGTGTCACAACTCTCTCTCTATGGCACTGGTGTGGATCACAGAGGAGATGGCATCCTCTGTTGAATGATTCTGATGGTATGTGTACTGGTGAGGGTCCTCATTGATGTTGATGTTTGTTTTGATGTGGGTCATGACCAGTTTTTCTAAGCATTTAGCGACTATCGGGGTGAGGGCCACTGGCCGGTAGTCATTCAGACCAGTCACTGTAGAGCTCTTTGGGACTGGGATGATGGTGGCGGTCTTCAGGCAGGTGGGAACTGTTGCCAGGGTAAGTGAGGAGTAAAGGTCCATACACACCAGCCCTGTTTAGTCCGCTTTAATCGAACTCTAGCCCGTTTTCCTAGGAAGTCCGGTTAGTTTGGGGAGGTGTGAACGCGCCATCGAACTCTGTCACGGAACAAAAAGGCGAACTCTGGCCCGGGCTAAAACCTAGGTCTCGGTCCAGTAGAAGAAAACTCCAGCGCGGTTCGAGTACAGTGTGAATGCAAGCAGACTGGGCCCCGCTCCACAAGCAAGAAGTGGACTACAGTGCAGGGCAAACAAACATACATTTTTCTTACCTCATATGGAGCAGTAAACTATACATTCTTTTTTTCATCATTCTCTGTCAGCGAGGTTACCAAACTGTTAAAATAAATGGACACTAGAAAATTTGCAGGCCCTGAAAACCTCGCTCCTTACTTTTTAAGTCTAGCTGCACAAATTATAGCAGAACAGTGTCGTACATTTTCAATATGTCAATACAACATAATATTATCTCAGATGTTTGGAAAACAGCTTTTGTACTGCCATTATTGAAGGGAGGAGACCCCAGTGTTTTGAACAATTATCTACCATTCTCCAAACTCTTTATTTTAGCTAAGGTTTTAGAAAAACTGATAAATACTCAGGTCAAGAAGTATTTGGACTCTTAATATTTTATCTTCTTTCCAATTTGGCTTCAGGAAACAACATAGCATAATGACTACTTTGATAAAGGTTTTTAATGATGTTGTTGAAGTTTTGGACGCTAAGGATAACTGTGCTGCACTTTACTTAGACCTATCCAAAGACTTTGATACTGTAGATCATGACATCGTATGCCATAAGCTCTCAGATATTGGCTTCTCGGATCACACTGTTGGCTGTGGCAGCCATCTTGAATTGGGTTGGTTGGCTCCAAAAGCTAATGAGTAGCAAATGGACATCCAGTAGATACTTCCTGAAGATTTCATTAAAATATGTGCTCTGACTTAGAAAATATTGTGTTAAGAGACAGAACTGACGCTAAATAATTTGTGGCAAATATTCAACCAAAGATTGAGTGTGATTATTTAGTGCTCAGAATATGTGTTGTGGATTAGCTACAACTACACTAAACCTTTGGTCACTATCTGTAAAATTAACTGTAAATTTACTAACAAACAAAAATAGTATTGCCCGCCACTGAAAGGCAAATGGAGGCCATAAAAATAGATTTTCATAGTTGTAGAGCAAGTCAAATAAAGAAAACATCAATTTATCAATGCTTTATTTTATAATTTGCACACCAGGAGAAAAATCAACACCCAATGATTCATAAGTTAGATTTAACTGATTTGCTGGAGAGTGACATATTTCTTCCACTTTCAGCTCATTTAGAGACTCATTTTCACCAAGGAAAGCTCCTAAGAATGGAAAATTGCACATTTGTGTACATTGTACCACAATCCTGAAAGCCTTTAAAACAAACTGAAGAAGCTGATCAGAGCCTCCTCCTCCTCATTCTCCTTCTCCAGTTTGGCACCGTTACAGAAAGGCGGTGGGGTGAAATGCTGAGGGTCTGCGATCCCAACGATGTTGTTGAAGAAGCTAAAAAAAAAATGAAAGAAAAGATGAACAGCTAGCAAAACCAGAGATGATGGAAAATTTACCAATTGTGAAATATGCAGCTTCTTCCTGGTAAGTTTAGATGTATTCTTCTGCTTTCACTAAAATTTTCAACCTTTAACCTGTTCTGCTGTGGGTGAGTTTTATTTTGGAGACTTACACTGCATAACAAAGTATGTCAACATCAGGGAGAAGTTTACGTCTTAATCACAAGATAGATTACATATTCTTTCACTTTAATGACTTTAATGACTGGGATAAATCGACCCCCCTCTGTGATAAATTCAAGGAATGTTGCCTATCTCTCAATCTAACCCAACTGATCGACTCTCCGACTAGACTAAACAAAAACCGTCCTGAAAAGTTCTCCATCTTAGACCTGTTTCTAACAAATATGCCTTACAAATTCCCTGCTTCAGGTGTGTTCGCTAACATTTTGAGTGATCATTGTGTGACAGTGACTCTCAGAGATATTAAACTTCCACCTTCTAAGCCCAGATTAATCAAAAAAAGGAATCTGAATCATTTTTGTGAATAGTCATTCCTCTGGGATCTGTCTCACTTGGACTGACATCGTATTCTATTAATAGATGACGTGAACTCCGCTTGGAACTATTTTCATAATAGTTTCATTTATTTTGTGAACAAACATGCTCCTTTTTGTCAGTTCAGAATAAAGGTACGAGACAGCCCCTGGTTTACTCCAGAGTTAGCTGACCTCCTGCACAGGAGAGATAATCTTTGGGCTGCAGCGAGAAAGTCTGACTCAGACACTGATTGAGTTTTCGACAGATGAGGAATAAATGCACAACTGCTGTCAAAGCAGCAAAATGTAACTATTTTTTTTTATCTCAGACCTCCAAAAATCTAAATGACCCTAACAGATTCTGGAAAACCATCAAATCTCTTTCAGGCACCCCCCAATCATCTGACCTCACATCACAACTTCTAGTTAACTCTGTTTCTGTGTCAAATAAGCTCGAGATCATGAACTGTTTCAACAAACATTTTGTTGCTTCTAGTTCTTTATTTGACACAGTTACTAATGGAAAATCAGCCACTTCACTTAATAACCAAACTTCTACAAATCAAATCCCTCCTACAAGTCAATCCTCAGTTAATCACACCTTCTCTTTTTCTCCATTCTCAGTCAGTGAGGTTAATAAACTGTTAAAAGATCTTGATCCTAAAAAATCTGCAGGTCCAGATGAACTTCCACCTTATTTCTTAAGGCTGGCTGCTCATATTATCACAGTCCCCGTGACCCACATCTTCAATTTCTCCATAAGCCAAAACTCCATTCCAAGTGCTTGAAAAACAGCCTTTGTTCTTCCTTTACTGAAGGGAGGTGACCCCACTTCACTGAACAACTATCGACCAATCTCTAAACTCTGCATTTTAGCCAAGGTTCTAGAAATAAACTCATAAACTCTCAGAAATTGGTTTCTCTGAACACACCATTGGTTGGTTCTCTAACTACCTCTCAGACCAGAGGCAATGTGTTCAACATAATGGTACTTGCTCCAGTTATTTAACAGTCAACAATGGTGTACCACAAGGCTCAGTCTTAGGACCCACCCTCTTTACAATCTACATACATTATGTAGGTAAATACATCCCTAATGCATCCATACATTTATGTGCTGATGACAGTTGTTTATTGTCAAACTTAAACAGTTGATAAGGCTTTCCAGCTTTTGAAATCTGCATTCAACACCATCCAGACAGATTTGTTCCGCCTCAAACTTGTCCTAAATGCCAACAAAACCAAAGGGATGCTTTTTTCCCAAAAAGGAAGTTGGTCCCAGCAGTTCTTCTTCTGATCTCATCCTCAAATGGTGTCCCCATTGAGTTTGTTGATTCCTATAAATATTTGGGTAACTTGGTCGACTCGCATCTCTCTTTTAAGCTACATGTGGAAAACTTGGTAAAGAAAGTGAAAGTTAAACTGGGTTTCTTTTTCAGAAACAGATCCTGTCTAACCCTGAATGCTAGGAAACACCTTGTATCTGTGACTTTCCTTCCCTTCATTGATTACGGTGACATTATTTACATGAACGCTCCTACAAGAACCCTGCAGATGTTGGATGCTGTCTATCACGGTGCACTAAGATTCATAACGTACCCACCACTGCACCCTGTATTCACTGGTTAACTGGACATCATTAACTTCATGCAGACTCTCTCACTGGTACATTTTCATCTTTAAATCACTTCTTGGTCTGCTGCCTTCATACATATCCTCCTTCATGTCTCTGCGTGAGTGCAGCTACAGCATGCGCTCTCAGGTCGTTATTACCTGCAGTGTTCCCTCAGTGCGAACTGAACTAGGCAAAAGGGCCTTCTCCTACTCCGCTCCTGTTTCCTGGAATATCTTACAAAAAGATCAGAAGCTCTCGACTTTGACTTCTAAGTGGCTTTAAGAATCTGTTGGACACCTGGCAGGGACCAATGCAGACATGTTCCTGTTTTTAGTTTACAACATTCGCCTTAGAATCTAGCTGTTTTTTGTTACTTTTCTTTTCTTTTTTTAGCCATCCTATTTGTTAAAAATAAATAAAATAAAATTGTATGACTTTTTGTAACTGTCTATTGTTGTCGCTGTTGTTCATTGTTTTCATCATTCTTTGTTGAAATCAGGTCTCTCTTGTAAATGAGTCCTCGAGGCTCAATGGGATTTACTAAATAAAGGTCTAAATAAAGGTTGAATGAATGAATGAAAAATGACTTAAACTGACCCAATAAAAGGATACTTTATTTTAATCTGAAGGGTTTATGTATCAGGGCATAGTAATAAAATACTTTTTTACAAAGTCCTAAATAAAATAAATACAACTACACATGATATATTACACCAGCCCCTGAATTAATTTAGATTATCGTGTTTTCCAGCATATAATTTGCAGTTTTTTTGCATAATTGACATGCCCTGCGACTTATAGGCCGAAGCGACGTATTTATGGATTTTTCCCCCCATACTTATAAACACATTTTTGCCTGCGATATGACCGTTTTCATTCATTCTGAAAAAAAAAAAAAAAAAAAAAGAGCAGTACCACTTTCAGCCACTTGATGGGAGAAGAGTACTAAAAATTGAACAGTACCATTTTCAGCCATTAGATGGCAGCAGAGTAGTAGTAGCAGTAAGGCATGTCGTTGTAACATGTAATATAGATAGAGCCAAAAACAACTGGACTTTATTTATTATACTTTATACTCTATTGTTTTTTTCTTGAACTTTTTTGAGTTTACCATGTCCTGGATGACTGAGAATCTTCACCAGCTATTAATGACAAAATCGGTCTGCCATGCAACCCCACTTTAGTTCTGCTCGGTGCTTGGAAGAAGTTAAACCAGCTGCACCGCCCCGGCGAAATACAGCCAATTTGACCATTAAAGCGCATTTATTAAGCAAATGTTCAATTGAGGCACACCTTTGCTATAATTTTGAGCAAACAATTATTTTAGGTGCTTTTCTTGTTAAATTTCGAAGAAACAAGAAGCTTTCCTTCTTCCTAATTTCCTACCTCTGCACTCTCCCAGACAACCGAGGCAGCAAAACTATTTTAGAAATGCAGCTGATGTGATCATTAAAGTGCATTTTTTAAGGAATAGTTAAACTGAGACACACCTTTGCTATAATTTTGAACAAACAAATAATTGTTTTTAGGTGGCTATACTTCCGCGTATCGGCTTTTGAAATGCAACTGATTTGACCATCAAAGTGCATTTATTAAGCAAACGTTAGACTGAAACACACATTTACTATAATTTTGAGCAAACAAAAAATTGTTTTTAGGTGTTTTATCTTGTTAAATTTTAAAGAAATGCGAAGGCTCATCCCTCTGCACATGCCCGCCGCTTCCGCAAATCGGCTTTTGAAATACAGCTGATTTAACCATGAAAGTACATTTATTAAGCAAAAGGTAGACTGAGACATACCTTTACTATAATTTTGAGCAAACAAATACAGCGGTGTCGCATAATAGATGTGACGTATACGGGGAAGCAACATATTTATGGATTTTTCCACTTTATTAGACAAATATGGACTGATGCAACTTATAGGACGGTGCGACGTGTCCGCCAGAAAATACGGTACATTTCCCCCTCCCCCTCCTCCCCCTTCTCTACAATGGTGATGGGTAAATTCCTGAATTAATTTGGATTACCGGTACATTTTTCCCCCTCCCCCTCCTATAAAATGACAATGGGTAAATTCTTCAGCAGCTTGTTGTTGCTGATAATTATGTGGCAGTACGGGCTTATTCGTCCACCTTTTTTCCCACCTGCTGCTGTCCAGCTTTGAATCAGCTGTGCCAACATCTCCACCCCTCTCTGCAATGACATGGTGTGCAGCTGTACCGCTGTACTGATTCATCTGGGCTACACCAACCGGGTTAAAACTGGGCCCAAGGTGAACCAATCCTACTGGCTTGTGAGCTCCAATGCCCTGCGGTTCAGTGCTCCTTTTGTCCCCTTATATGCATCATTTTAGAACAGACCATCCATTATGGACATTCTGGATGGTCAAACCATGTTGGTGCATCTGAACTTGTTTGTCCATGCCAAATTCACTGCTACCTGGTTCTAAATAACCACATTTTTATAAGCACATATCATCATAACATGTCTATGAGGACCAATATCATAAACTTCAACAATTATACTACTGCCACAAAGAACTCTCAGAAATGTCAGATTGTAATGCTTTTATTTCTGGCTGGTATTCAACCCAATCCTGGTCCATTCACCTCATGTACTACTACATCAGATCTTAAAAACATGTCAGGTTTACACATTGTGCATATTAAAGCTTGTAACCGCCTTCCTTAAATAGATAATAATAAAGTGCTATTGGTTGTCATCATTGTATATTCCCATACAAAGATAAAACTGGCTCTCTGCATTTAACCCATCGCACCTGGGATACACCCATGTGGAGCAGTGGGCAACTATGCAAGCGCCTGTGGAGCAATTCT